TGCTTTTATGTCAGTACCATGCTGTTTTGGTTGCTATAGCTCTGTAGTATAATTTGAAGTCAGGTAATGTGATTCCTCTGGTTTTGTTCTTTTTGCTTGGGATGACTTTGGCTATTCTGGGTCTTTTGTGGTTCCATATAAATTTTAGAATTATTGTTTCTATTTCTGTGAAGAATGTCATTGGTATTTTGATGGGGATTACATTGAATCTGTAGATTGCTTTGGGTAGTATGGACATTTTAACAATATTGTTTCTTCTAATCTATGAGCTGAGGGACCAATTTAAATTGCTGTATTGACAAATAAGGATTTGCTTCACAGTTGTATTAAAAGTTTTCAAATGTGAAATCCTTCATTAGCCTTGTTTATGCTTTAAGCTTAGTGGTAACTACCATTATTAGACTTTTTGAATACAAGATTCAATAAAATCAGTGTTGTACTCATTAACTACTGGGCTTTTAGGGGATCCATAAATAGCACTCTTCTCTTTTTCACCCAGGTCAGAAGCAATTGAGAGAGAGAGATGGATTCTGACAAATGGAGATAAAGGTCAGCTTTATTGCTGATGAAATGCAGAGAATTGTTGTGACCCAAGTGGGCAGCCAAACAGGCTTCCTAATGCTATGTCCCCCAAATAAAATTACTCACCCAATCATTGGCAGAGGTGGAAAACCTCAGGCCTTACCTGTGGAGACCTGTACATGTAAAATCAATAATATGACAGAGCAAAGAATGCATGCTTTGGGGGTGGGAACAAGTAGGGTGGGGGTACTAACTCCTGAGGAGGAAAGTACTGAGCTGAGCATGCTGTTCATTCCCTAAACTCATCAGATAACTGGCTCTTCTTCCTGTGGAGAGAGTGGAGGGTGTGAAGTTAGGCCAGGATGCTTCCATTGCAAGTTCTATGTGGAAGTGTGAAGAGAGTGGGCAGTAAGTGTTCTCAGGTAACTCTTAATCTCAGAGACACCTCTGATTTCATTGGCACTTCAGGGCTGTGATTAATCTGGTATTTAATCAAATTATCTTATACTGAGTTGCTCTCTAGGTAATCAAAACAAAATGCATCTATGCATGTACAGTATTCTCTCTTCCCACTAAGCATTCGAGCTAGTCATCAAGAGCAATTCATACAATAAAAAGGAACATGTGAATAACAAATAACAAATATAGTGGAATCAGGCAAAAAGGGACACAAGTAAGTTATGCAGTGAAGAAGAGGGACAGAACTATACTAATTCTTCAAGAAAAACAAAGTGGAATTTCTCACAGGACCTATTGAGTGAACAGTGTTCTTAAAAAATTCTCTAATTGTCAGTGGGGAGGGAAAGGTAGGGCGAGATTTGTTCAAGAATACAAAATTACAGTTAGGAGAAATAAATTCTAGTGTTCTATTGCACTGTAGGGTTACTATAGTTAACAGTAATTTATTATATATTTTTGGATAGCTAGAAGAGAGACTTTTGAATGTTCCCAACACAAAGAAATGATAAATGTTTGAGGTGATGGATATGCTAATCACCCTGATTTGACCACTCTACATAGTATGCATCAAAACATCACTATGTACCCTGTAAATATATATAATTATCTATCAATTTTAAAAATGTATAACAAAGGCAATGAGTCACATAAGGTATTTTTTGAAAATAACACCCCTAAATGAAAACCAGGGCGACCAACTGTGTTGATTTGCTCAGGAGTGTTCTTGTTTTACCACTGAATGTTCCACATCCCAGGAAACCTTCATTCCCTAGCAAATTGGGTTGGTTGGTCACTCTAAATTCAAACTGAGAACATTAAACCGAACAGCAAATTAGTTACTCAAAAGATAAAACTAATAGAGTCCAATTCTTCTTGAGGGAGACTTTTCATGTGAATATTTACTAATGATCATTTGCTCTATCTACT